CCTCGGGAAGGTGGCCGGGCAAAGTTAACGTTTTGAATGAACAGCTATCGTTGGCTTTAAAGCTTCTCTGCCTTTTCAGTAAATGTGGAGCTACGTTGGCTTCACATCCCACTCGATGCCGTTATTCTTACTTAGATAGATTTTTTTCGGATAGACTTGCCCTCATAAGCCTAAGGCAGCTTCTGGAATACCGTTTTTATAAGACCCTCCAAAGTGTGTGGGAAGTTACTACGGCTACTACTATTTATTTGGCCACTGAACGCCGATGCCTGTCGGTGTTGCCTGGCTCGCAGTTTACCTGCGAGCACAGCTCGACCCTGGCGTTGTTTTCCCTTGCGCCAGTCCTTCCGATTTCCCTTCAGGCGCATCGGTGACGCGGACAGCATCCTGGCCGTCCGCACATTCCTGCCTTCGCCGACTTTAGCGTTCGCTCTCCCTGTTGGAAGTCTGGCAACCGTATGTTGTTTGTGGGCGTGGGAAATCGATCGTCTGGGCAAGAGAGGCAGAGAAAATGGGCGGTATGGCGGGGGGGGGGCGTGGTTGGTCGGTCCGTCGCCTCAAACACTCGCTTGCGCGCAGCAATCGAGCGGATCGCCTCACGCATCGCAGACAAGCAGCGCAATACAGGATTAGTAAGCTCGCCATGCAGCTCTGATTGGCTAACTGAGTGGTCTGGCCTTACGTATCAATGTGATTGGTCCACATTTAAGATGCCGATTGGTTGACCGGGGAAGGGCGGACGCATGCTCCATGGGCGATTGACTGCGCTAGAAGTTGCCGGCCGCATTGCTTGCTGGTCTAACGTTACGGTGGCCAGGTCGAGGGCTGTGGAGAAAGGCCGCGGTAAACTAAATTGTTTTGTTTTAATTTGGCCACACACCTCCTCGTCAGGTTGGTTGAGAGGTCGTAAGAATACGTCACAACCTACTTGATTGAGGGGCTGTTTCGCCCTAAGCAGCTGGTATTGCCGTTTTCCGTTTCTTCATCTGCTCATGACGTATCCACTAATTTCTGTGGTTAACTTGTTTTTTTCTCCCTGTACTAGGAGCTTGACAGAGAACCACGACTACTTCATCCTGGCCCCGGCCTGCTAAATGGCAACGAAGATAGAGTTCACACATGGATTTACTTTACAACTTTCTTCCTGATAACAATAAGATAAGGCCGCAAAGTAAAGCCAAATTATAGTCAGTCTTCATTAATACTTGGTTAGCACGTCTTCCGTATGGATTCCTTGAGGTTTTGAAGGTGTGTTTGCATAAGATATGCGTAAAACTAATATCTGCAGGACTGCAGTTCGGGAGAAGTGCAGTAATTTTTGACAGTCGCCCGATGCCCCAGTCTTCGCATTCCTTTCACCGGAGTCTGGGCTATATCGCAGTTGGTAGACAGGAATAGGAAAGCGGACGACGACCTTAGCCCTAACCCTGAACCTAACCTTAACCCTAAACGTTAAACTTTAACCTTAACGGCAACCCTAACCGAAATCGGAAACGGAACCGTAGCCCATAGACATAACCGTAATTGAAAAATCTTACCGTAATACTGAAACCTAATCGTAAGCTCAAACCCTAACCGTAACCCGAAAACCTAAGCCTAAAGGCATAACCCTCACCCGAAAATCGGAACCCATTAACCGGTACTCTAATCCTCACGTCAGACGTAAAACGGAAGGCAAATGGGTCAGATGTGATTATGGAACCCCACAAGATGGCCCCAGTAAACAAACACCCAGCCACCCGTAATACGGGACCTGGCTACCAACTGCGATCTAGTCGGAGTCTGTTTTGATTCAGTCACAACAGAAAATTTCAAACACACGAAACCGTTACCTCTGCGAATAAGATAAAACGGACGACTTTCCGCCATAAAATTCTGATTCGCCGAGTTAAAAGGACCCAGAAAGTCAAAAGAACTACCTAAAACCTCAGTGCGCTACCATTACGACTCAAAAGTCCCGCCATGGGCTACTTCGGCTGATGAATACTGAACTTTGGTTCTCAGATAGAGGTTTGTAAACGAACCGAGACGGCTAATCCGCTGAGCAATTTGAATACTTTAGGACCCTTCGCCCTACCGAGAGTTCGGCGTCTGACTGACAGGGTCGAAGGCACTTTCCGATAATTACGCCACTGGTAAAGCTAGATTTTACTACAATACCAAACGTATCGGATAAAGGAGGTTGACATTATCGGGTAGTTTCGGCCATCATTGAAATACTTCGAAAACCGCAGATAAATTATAATTAATTAGCCGCCTTTCTCTGAGAGCTCTTATGCACAATCTGGAATATAACGAACCCCGGGCAGTGTCAGTGTTTCCCTTGTAAAAACGTCTTTCACATAAAGCTGAACTGAAAATAGTAAAGGTAAAATTGGTTTCCAGATACTAGAATAATACTAATAAAATATTTGCAGTTGTTAATCTAGTGTTTACAGGAGAATTTCCAGTAGCACATTTAGTTGATCAGAATTTCTGACCAACTGTCTTGGAAACGGGCTTCTTGCTGTCATGGTGACATTGCAACCTTTTTGCTGTATGTTTGAGATGCAACGCAGGCAAGAAAGATGGTCCGTCTGACAAAGGAGACTAAATAACGGAATGAGGGGTGTACGAGTACCATGTGCGAGGACCCACGTTGTATTTGTACGGTCACACAAGATTAATCGATGCCTTTGGGTGAGCATTGTACTACCTTTCACTGGCGAGTACACCCAACCGCATATACGTTACTGGCAATTGTCATGGACTAAGATGTGGCATAAGCGGCGCCAGCCGGGCCCACTAGTGCAGGCCTGATTATGGTGGCAAGAAGTGGCAGTTCGTTGACATCCTCACCGAACGTATCGGTGGTCCTGATGGCTCCTGCTTCACTCGTCTCGGCACCCAGCTCTCAACTTTGGCTGCACGAAACCGTGCTCTGCATGACATGTGTCACACCCCAGTGACTGTCATTCACAGTGAATTTAATTGCATTGGGGTGTCCGGCGTGTGTTTGAGTCTTCACTCCCGGTGGCCCCACCTCCCCTCCTCACCCCAAAACAAAATGTCCTACGGTGGGGACGACACACAATCAGGTAGGGGGCCCAGGTTGACACGGGACGTCTTCCCATTGAGCAAAAGTTGTGGTCCAAAGTAGAATTCAACAGTCGCCTGGAATGACTGAGCAACCTCAATTTTGAGTAGCACTGTCCACCCCTCTTGAAAGAGAGGACTAGAAGAGATGCCCTAAAAATTGCTAACGGAACACTCCCTTGATACGCTGACTGTGACTTGTGGACGCGCTAAATGCGGACGAAAATTAAAACAAACAACGAGTCCCGTTCGAACCCCCCCCCCACGGGATGTCCGAGAGGCACTGCTCATTCTGGCAGCCCGAAGCGTCCCTTTTAGAAAATCTAGTAGCAAACCGTCCGGAAACGAAAGTGCTTTGGTCGCCGGCAAAATGGCCGGTTACGAAGTGGGCATTACGGCTCTCACTGAGACCCGCTTTCCCGTGCAGGGACAACTGGAGGTGGGTGCCAGGCACACCTTCTTCTGAAGCAGACGTCCAAGGGCAGGACCCTGAGTCGCCTTGGTTATGAGGGCCGACGGCCTGAGACGGCTGTCCTGCCAGTCGCAGGACGCCAATAACCACCTCATGACCCTACGTCTGCCCTTTCAGGAGGCCAAATTCACCACCATCATCTGCGCCTCAATGACCGACTCCGATGACGTGAAGAACACGTACGAAAACTCGAATTCCCTCCTGGCAACTGTGCCGAGAGCGGGCAAACTATTTTCACCTATAGACATCGGTGCCAGTGTCGGCACAGACCATGCTGGCCGGGTTGAAGCTCGCGGTAGGCATAAGATCGGTTGCTAAAACAGCAGTAGGCTTTTTCTCCTGCAGGCCTGTGCGTAACACAATCTACTTCTGCTCAACACTTCCCGTCTTCCGATTTGGTAGCAGACGACGTGGATGTACCTTCACTCGCGTCATTCGCATCTGCTGGGCTACGCTTAAGTTAGAAGGCCTAACTAGTGGGACGTGCTCGTGACAAAGGCGATGTGTGCTGCCTACTTCCGGACGGACTACCGCCTTGTCATCTGCACGATGAGGTTCCAATTGTAACCGCGCAGGCAACCGCAAGGTAAGTTAACACCAAGTAAGCTAGATACTGTACTACTTAGTACGGCTAAACGCTGATTGAATTTTAGCAGAGATGCAAAATCCGGGGGCGCAACCGTTGCTGAAAATCGATGGAGGGAGTTGCGGGATATCGTCCAGGTCGCCGCGATATAAGCTCTATGCTGCGCACGCCGTCGCCACCAGGATTGGCCTGATGTGAACTACGGAAAAATTCGCACTTTCCTCCCCCAGAAACCCAGACCCACACCATCAATAGCAACAACAACAATAAACTTTATACTTCTAAGGCCGACGGCTAGTACACCAGAGGGTGAGGGGGATACAGAACGACTGGCTGACGCACAAAGCTGAGGAGTCCACGGACATACCGGCCGCAGTGGGACGAAAAATTTTATTGCGGCCATATAAGCAGTCTACGGTCCCCGAGCCAAGGAGACTGCGCCACTGCTAAGCCAGAATAGAGTAACTATCCTGGCAGAAAATTCACATTCCCTATGCGCTGGGCCATGCACTACCAGCGCGTTCTCAGCCACCCATCGGCAGCATGGGAAGACACCATCAACTGACTTTATTAAGTGGACGACAGTTTCACTCCCTGAGAACAGTGCAACAGACTCTCGATGGAAAAGCACCGGTAGCAGCCGCAAGCCCAACCGAGTTTTGCAAGTACAGTGGCCCAAAATTAAAGAAGGATCTTTCCTCGCAATTTCAAGAAATGCGGTTGCAGGACTTCACCTTACAAGACTTCGAAAATGCCACCATCGCTCACATCCACATACTTAAAGAGAACCAGCAAATGTTTGGTAGTCACGGAAGCATGTCTCTGTTCAATGTCACAGGAACAATCCCCGCCCGTGTCGTACTTAATCGTCTGACAGCACGCCTGGAACAAGCACATCTTTCAGAAGCGCAGTGCGGTTTCTGTAAACGGCGCGGAACCACAGACACGATCTTTGTGTCCAGTCGACTGCAGAAGAAGTGTCGGTCCGGCAAAGACCTCCAGCACAGTGAACCGCGGTGGAATTTGGGATATCCTGAGTGACTTACTGGAATGATGGCTCCCGTCACGGAAAATGCGACGATCTCTGAGGCATTTACGATATCTAGTAGAATGAACCAGGGCTGCGTACCCACTCCTACTCTATTCATTCTCATGTTGTTCATCATGCCGATGCCTGGATGATCGTCTCTGGCCGTTCTAACTTCGGCCTGATCATCAGCACGGGGTGAGAAGAACCCCGCACCAACCGGCGTCAAATGCTGACTACATCAGACCTCCCATTAATGTCAGTGCAGCTCACCATCCGCCAGTGGAGAACGTTGAGTACCTTAAAATTACAATTTCAAGAAACACCAAGATTGAGGATGAAATCGTTATTTCTATCTCTAAAGTCAGTTAAACCTTCGGTCGGCTAAAGTACACCGCCTGGTACCGTAGCGGTATCCTACTCAGCATAAGACTGGGGATTACAGTGCTGTTATCCTGATAAAGTTCTTGCGCAGGGCGAATTCATGGAACTTTTATGAAGGTCAAGCAAAAAAACTCAACCATTTGCTCCTCACAAGTCTTCGAAGAATGCTGAAAGTGAAACGGCAAGAAAGGATCCCTGAAGTTAAGACCCTGGAAAAATCGTTGCCCTCAGTATTCAAGCCTTGTTGAAGCAGACACGACTGCGTTGGTGCGGTCACACCCTGCGGATAGAGGACGAATGCATACCCAGGGGGCCGTTCTATGGCAAAGTAGATACCTGCGGTCGATGGCAAAGGCGTCATTACAAGCACCTGCAGGTCAAACCGGAGACCTGTGGGACAGCGCTCAAGATCGACATGCATTACGTACTACCGCAAAGAATGAAGCAGACATCTTCGAAGTCAAACGAATGACCGCCGCCAAGGCATAGAGACCCGCAAGGCTCAAGCGCGGACACTCAAACACCCCATGGTTGGCGCTATGCGTATCGCGGCAGATGTAGTTCCTACACCTGAAAGCTTCCTTACTAACAAAGTCGTCTCCACTAATAGCATCGCCTTACCGGATGGATGCTAAATGACTGGATAACTCAACCTACGTGGTCAGTACTATGTTGTATGTTGGGCGACTTGCTCAATGACCTAAATGTGACCTCTATGACACCTATGAACGTGAGATACGAGCCCTCTTTTCTGCGAAAAGGCGGCACATTTTACAGGGACCAGGTTGTGTGTGGCGTACACGGACGTGCTATTTCACTTTGTCAGCCACTGCGGCATCTCCGGCCCATCTCCGGCAATTATTATCTCACCAACGGACTGTGGTGTATGATGGAGGACAGTGTGCGGTAGATGCTGCGCAGGTATGTCTCACTAATAAAGTAATTCGTGCTCAAATCGCCAGTGCTGCGTCCAGTCCGTGGGGCACATGGTGGACGTCATCGCTTGTGACGGCCAAACTGTCACTAACGAGATGTCAACCATCCGATTAATCATATAGGAGGCCATTCAAATCGGTTTCGCGATGCAGGTGACACGGGTGGCTAACACCTCTTTTGGATGAACCGATAAGCATGCAATCGCCAGTGTGGTTCGCCACGAATGATGAAGAAGTTTCGAGCAAAATGCTAGTGAAGGACGGGAAAGCGTCTTTAGAAAAATCTAGCACATGAAATCCCTACCTAAAATTTTCACCAAACCTCTTTATTATCAGCGGTAAATCCAGATAAAATCCATTGGATCGTACTTCGGTAGGAAATCGTCCAACACGACTGGCCTTGCTGAGAACATTTCTAAGAAAAATCGGCGACGTGTGATCCAGAGTTCTGCTGACAGACAAGCCCTGGCACAAAACGTTCAACATTAACGCCAAAAAGAAACATTCTACTAGACCATATCAAACTTAGACATGAATTATTC